GGGTCCAGCCAATAGCAGGCAAGAAACTAAAGCCTTTCAGTGACTGTGTGAGTCAGCTCAAGACAGAAGCCTCCACCCCAACTACAGCCCTGCTGCAACTTCCCAAGAGACACCAAGCAGGATCAAGTAGCCAAGCTGCTCCTGAATTCCTGCCCTCAGAAACTGTGAGATAATAACTGTTCATTGTTCTGAGCTGCAAAATTTGGGGCAATTTGTTACACAGCAATTGATAACTAATACATTTTCTTTACTCCAAGGGTGAGCTCCTGAACACGGCATAGAAGGCACTTCATGCCCACCCTTCCAGCTCCAGTTCACACTGCTCCCATGTTCACACCTTACTCTTGAGTGTCTCATCCCCGGTATACCCCAGACCGCACCTCCACACCTCAGAGCCTTTGCCCACGTTGTTCTTTGTGCCTGGAATGCCCTTTCTCTATGGATGGGATCCCCTTCTCCAGAGATCCTTCCCTAAACTGCCCTTGCACCAAATCCAGTTGGGTTACGTCCCCCTCCTCACAGCTTAAACACGCTTCTTAAGATAGGTAGGCAAGAAGCGAGTTACATGGAAGGAGAAAAATGTTCACAGGAAGGAACACATGACTTGCCTCAATCTGGTTGATCAAGGAATTGTCAAATTTGAACCCAGGAATCCTTTTGTCACTGCAGACCACTCCGACATCTTCTGTGTGCTTGCAGTCGGTGACACCCCAGCCATTGGAGGGGCAGGCTGCCAGGGTCGCCTCCTTGCCAGTGCAGTGGACATTATCCAACCAGATGGGCCCTGAAGGAGGCAGAGAAGAGAGAAACCGAGCTCCACATCAGTGCAGGTTTGAATCTTTGGGGTCACCAGTGTCTGACACAGAAAGAGAATTTTTCTCTCCTTTTGGCAGTTGAGTGTGGCCATTAGTTGATTTTTATTATGTTAAGATATTGTGTATGGTTCCAGACTATCTGGATTCCCTTGCCAGAGTAGGTAGCTGCTGTGTTTTGGGGATGTGTTAGATTGAACACCATTAGGATAGGAATCAGATTTAAGCCCCGAAGTCAAGTGGTATAGAGGAAAGAGTGGGGGCCTTTGGGTGCTAAGGTGGGTTTGGATTCTGGCTCAGCCAC